AGGAGGCTGAGGCAGGAGAATTGCCTGAACCCAGGAGGTGGAGGTTGCGGTGAGCCGAGATCGCGCCATTGCACTCCAGCCTGGGTAACAAGAGCGAAACTCCGTCTCAAAAAAATAAATAAATAAATAAATAAATAAATAAATAAATAAAATTCTCCCATAGCTTCCCATGTCATTCAGACTAAAAGCCACATTTCTCAGTGTCCTTACAGTACCCTGATTATGATCTAATCTCCACTATTATTCCCCTTCCTCATGCTGCTCCAGCCACTGGCCTTCCTGCTGTTCCTTATACCTGTCAGGTACACTCCTGCTTCAGGGTCTCTGCATTTGCTGGTCTGTCATTAGGTAGACTCAGCATGAGAGATCCACGTGCTTTGCTTCATTGCTGCGTTTAGATCTTTGCTCAAATATAATCTGCTCAGTGAGGCTTTCTCCAGCCGCTCAATTTAAAATTACATTCAGGGTGCCAAGACTTTGTCCTCTATGCCCTAAGGTTTCTGGACCTTCCAGGTAGGAGCCGAGAACCCTTGGTTGGTCCCTCTAACTTGCATTTCTCCCCATCCCTCAAGCAATTCTTATCCTCCTTCCCTGTTTGATGCTTCACCGTGGCATATATTACCATCTGATGTATAGTGTATTTTATTTTATTTATTTTGTTTGCTGTTATTTTCTGTTTCTTGTCACTGGAGCATAAGCTCCATGAGGGAGGATTCTTGTCTTCATGGTTCATCGTTATGTTCTCACCACCTGACATATAGGCATATGATAAATATGAATGAATGGATTCCTAGTACTTCTTGCTTCTCTTTCATAGTTATTATGATTATGATGCAGTACCTAGTGTGTCTCTATGTCTAAAATGAAACAAAGAAATCTGCGTTTTTGGCCTGGCGCGGTGCTCACACCTGTAATCCCAGCACTTTGGGAGGCTGAGGCAGGCGGATCACTTGAGGTCAGGAGTTGGAGACCAGCTTTGCTGGCCAACATGGTGAAACCCCATATCTACTCAAAACAAAACAAAACAAAACAAAAATACAAAAATTAGCCAGGTGTGGTGGTGGGCGCCTGTAATCCCAGCTATTCAGGAGGCTGAGGCAGGAGAATTGCTTAAATCCAGGAGGCAGAGGTTGCAGTGAGCTGAGATGACGCCACTGCACTCCAGCCTGGGCAACAGAGCGAGACTCCCTCTCAAAAAAAAAAAACAAAACAAGCTGTGTTTTTGTCCTGCTCACCTTATATCCCCAGCACTTAGTAGGTGCTCCAAATATATCTCTGCTGTATGAATGAAGCTTTCTGAGATGCTAATCTGAACATATTCACCCCACTTCTGCCTTTAAATCCTATTGCCCTCAGTATCAAACCTGAATCTCCTTAGCATGTCATAATCAGCTTCCCCTTGTCTCATGTCTTGACACTTTTCTACTCCTTCCACATCTAAGATCCAGCCTTTCTTGAATATGCCATGCTGTCTCGCTTTCAGGCCTTTGTACTCACTGTTCTCTTCTTGGAAAGCTTCACCTGACTAACTCCTACTTATCCTTTAGGGCTCAGCTGAGGTCACATTTTCTGGGAAGCTTTCCAGACCCTTAAGGTGAGCTTGTGTCAGTGGGGCTGGGTACAGAGCCCATCTCCAGCTTAGTCCTGCCCAGGCTTCTGCTGACATCTGATTGTTGTGTGTTGGCCACAGAGGTTGAAGATTAGCTCAGACAGAATGTTGATGATGTAGAATGTAGAGTAATGAGAATGGCAGTGAGTGAAATGGAGGTTGAAGCAACTAAAAGCCACTGTGGGCTCTGGGCTGTCAAGACATTGTCCTCTATGCCCTGAGATCTCTGGACCTTCCAGGCAGGAGCCAAGAACCCTTGGTTGGTCCCTCTGACTTGATTTTTCCTCGTTCCTCTCTCTCAGGGGGGGATGTTACCATCACTGACCTGCCCCTGGCCCTAGAACAGATCCAGGGCAACGTCCAGGCCAATGTGCCGGCTGGAGCCCAGGCCCAGGTGCGTGCCTTGTCCTGGGGGATTGACCACCATGTCTTCCCTGGAGACTATGACCTGGTGCTGGGGGCTGATATCGTGTACCTGGAACCCACCTTCCCACTGCTGCTGGGGACCCTCCAACACCTGTGCAGGCCCCATGGCACCATCTATCTGGCCTCCAAGATGAGAGAGGAGCACGGGACGGAGAGCTTCTTTCAGCACCTCCTGCCCCAGCATTTCCAACTGGAGCTGGCTCAGCGGGATGAGGATGAAAATGTCAACATCTATAGGGCCAGGCACAGGGAACCAAGACCTGCTTGACATCGCTCCTGCTGTTCTTCTCCATCTCTTGTCCTAATGAAGGAACTGTGTATCTCAAAAAACTTATTTCCAGAGCCACAAACATGAGGACCAAAAAGGATGGATTTCCCTGGCCTCTGTCACTTTCCTCCTTCCCTCCTTATTAGCCCAGATTCTCTTTGGCAGGTGCAGTGAGATGCCTGCTTACAAGGAATCCCAGAGCTCTGGCAGCACTAATGTTAGAACACCAAGGAGTTTCCAGCTCCTGTTCTCAGAGAAGGAGGATGGTAGGGTAGCCAGGATTTTTAGATGGTAAGGGAGGTATATGGGATGTGAGAGCAGTGGTTGTAGAGAGACTGTCACTGATCACTTCCATTGCCGTTGCTATTTATACAGAATGGACTTTTAAAAGTCTATGGGATATTTCTTCTTTTTTTTTGAGACAATGTCTCACTCTGTCACCTAGGCTGGAGTGCAGTCACTGCAGCCTCGATCTCCCAAGGCCCAGATGATCCTCCTGCCTCAGCTCCCAAGTAGCTGGGACCACAGGCATGCGCCACCATGCCTGGCTAATTCTTGTATTTTCAGTAGAGGCAGGGTTTCGCCATGTTGCCCAGGCTGGTCTCAAACTCTTGGGCTCAAGCGATCCACCCTCCTTGGCCTCCCAAAGTGCTGGGATTACAGCCATGGCCACTGTGCTTGGCCAGGATTATTTTTTTTTTTAAAGAAAGAATTAAGCCTTAAATATCTCTTGTGCAAGAACTCAGCTTTTGCACAGGAGCTGAGAAGGAAGAAGCCTCATACCACCCATTTTCTGGTTTTCAGAGATAGAGTCTGGTGGGACCATGGCTCTAACTGAGTCAAGTCCTCTGAGCTCCGAAGCTAAGGCTGCAGAGCTGTCCTTTGCAGTATAGTTTCTTCATGCTTTTCATAGCTAGAGCCTTGATCACAGAACATCATGCTGTGGACCAAAAAGGGTGGATTTTAGTACTTAGTACTGGACTGAGTACTAAGTTATTTTCATCTTTGATTTTTCTTTAGCTTCATCAGTGCTTTCTTCCGAATCTCGAATCCCCTGAAGCCTAATACAGTTCCTAACGTGTTTTGCCTTCACCTCTTTTCTATTCCCACACTGGTACTTCTGGTTGGGCCTGTTTACTTACTGCTTAGGCACATAGTCACCTTCTCTGGACTCTCTGCCTCCATGCTTTCTCCTTCAGTACATTCTGCAAACTCTCGTGATCTTCCAAAATTAGCTCTGATTAGCTTTCGCTGCCCATAGAAGCAAGAACAAGCTCCTCTGCTTGGTACTTAGTCTGTGTCCATGTGATCCCAAATTACCTTTCTACTGCATTTCCTACTCCTTTGCTACATGTTTTGGACCTCTGGCCAAATTACCAAAGATGGACTCTTTGTTCTATAAATCCACACTAAAGTTTCCTGACTTCTTTCTTACTCTTTATGATAATCCTCTGTCTGAAAGGCTATTGCCACCTGTCAAAATCTTCATTATTCTTTGCCTCTTTCCTGAGCCTCTTGCTTAGATGTGATTTATTTCTCCCTGAGACCCTTTAACTGTTTGTTCATCTTGTGGGACCTTACTTTGTCGTGCATGGACACTTGTGATTCTCATTTTCTCACCATTAAATTACCTTAGAGGGTAGGGCTGTGGTTTACTCATCTCTAATCCCCTGAGGCCTAACACAGTTCCTGGAACACAACAGGTATTCAACAGATATTGTGTTCATTCAACAAATATTTACTCGCTTTGTTAAATGGACTTGACTCCTGCTTTCCTAGGTGACCTTGGACAAATTCCTGAACCCATCTACCAACCTCACAAGTTTGTTGTGAGTCGTAAATGGATAATGAATATAAACGCGCATTGAAAATAAACATAAAATGTTACCCACATTTCTTGTGTTGTTGTTTTGTTACAACTTTATTTCTTGGTTTCCGTTATTTTACCTAGGGTGGGAGGTGCGGGGGGGTAATTCCCGTATGAAATATGTAGTGTAAAGAAATCAAGTAGAGGAGGGAACTGTGTACCTCCAGCCAGCAGGTGGCACCATTTTCGTTTGGTGCGTTCCAGTGGAAAATTTTGGCCCTTCCGCCGCGCCGTAGGTTTGTCGCCCTACTGGTGCGCGCCCAGAGGGAGTGTACTGCCGCCCGGGAGATGTGGATGCTGCGGTCACTGCGCGTGTTCCTGGTCGCGCGGACCGGGAGCCACCCGGTGAGATGGCCTGGTCCTGGTACCGACCTGCGCAGCTCTGCTGTGCGCCTGTACCTTTCCCTTCCTTACAGCCCCATGTGACTCCATCTCACCTTCCCCGACAGCGTTGCCTCTGCCCCGTCCAGCCCCAGTGCATCCCCCCTTTCCATACTTTCCGCACCCTAAAGTCTCTTCCCTGCCCGTATGCCCTCCACCCGCTGGAGTTCGCTGCTTCCTGCTTCTCATCCCTTTCTTAACCCATCCAGGCGGGGTCCGTTCTGCGTCAGTCGCCCCAGCCACGGCACACATTTCATGCTGGGCCATGTCTGTATGCCTCGGCCTCCAGCAAGGAGCTCCTCATGAAACTGCGGCGGAAAACAGGCTACTCTTTTGTAAATTGCAAGAAAGCTCTGGAGACTTGTGGCGAGGACCTCAAACAGGTGGGGGCGTGTGTGTGTGTGTGTGTGTGTGTGTGTGTGCGCGTGTGCAGGGCGGAGTACTAGAGCTCCATAAAAGACCTGCTGTCCAGTGTCAATAATGTCACAGCCATAGGTGGAAATCTGGGTTAAATGACAACCTGACCTTGACATTGTCTTATTTGGAAGCAATTGAATATCCCAGGATTAATAAACCCTATTGCATGCAAGACTGTTACGGTGTTTTTTGTTGCCTGGAGCTGAAAGGGTTTGTGCGAGCTTTGGAGTCAGACACATAAGGAGTCAAATTTTGGTGCCATCACACTAGCCGCCTGACTTTACACATCTTAATCTTTCAGAGTTGGGTAGTTTTCGTCTGTATAGCCATGCGTCTCTTAACTAGGAAGATACATTCTGAGAAATGCGTCATTAGGAGATTTTGGCTTATGCACATCATAAAGTACTGACACAAACCTAGATGGTACAGTGTACTACAACCTAGGCTATATGGAATAACCAGTTGCTCCTGGGGTACAAGCCTTTGCAGATTGTTACTGGACTGAATAAGCAATTGTAAGACAGTGGTAATATGTATCTAAACATAGAAGAAGTACAGTAAATAGGTATAAAAGATGAAAAATGATACATCTCCATAGGGAACTTAGGTATGGAGCTTGCAGGACTGGAAGTTGCTGTGGGTGAGACAGTGACTGCTGAGTGAATGTGAAGGCCTGCCTTAGGACACTGTGGTATACTACATTAGACTTTATAAACACAGTACATGTAGGCTACCTTAAATTTGTAAGAAATTTTTTTTCTTCAATCATAAATTAACCTTGATGTAACAGTTTTCTTTTGTAAACTTTATTTTTATTTTTTTACCAGGAACATCAGCAAAGGGGATATTTTATAAACTGTTAACATGTTTTAAACTTTTGGGCCCTCGTAATAACAGCGTAAAACACATACAGTTGTGCCAAAATGTTTTTCTTTATGCACCTATTCTATGAGATTTTCTCTGTTTTTAAATTTTTAAACTTTTTTTAACTTAAAAAGTTGTTTTGTTAAAAACTGAGACACTAACACATACAGCATAGGCCTACATAGCAGCAGGGTCATCAATAATACTGTGTTCCACTTCCACATCTTGTCCCGCTGGAAGGTCTTCAGGGGCACTAACAGACGTGGACCATCATCTCCTGGGATAACAATGTTTTCTTCTGGAATACCTCCTGAAGGACCTGCCCGAAGCTGTTTCACTGTGAATTTTTTTTTTTTTTTTTTT